CCCCCCCCCCCCCCCCCCCCCCTCCCCCCCAACACACACACAGGAGCATACCTTCCCTTTTACTCTGCCTCCTGAAATAACGTGCAAGTGGGCCGTGAAGGCACATGGGGATGTCGGCAGCTGCCGCTCAACCACAATCAACGTGGGAAGCCTTGTGCGTAAGAGGCACAGTAAAAGGGGAGCTGCAACAACAATGAAAGGGGTATCCCAAGGACAACCAAAAAAATGTCCAATTATAAAATTGCTTTAATACGTTGGACATCTCAAATGCTCTCGCTGTCTGCAATAGGACAAAGACTGCTTTGATTCTGAATCTATTCATCTGGGTGGAATTGGGGCTGGTGTGGGGAAAATCTAAAACACACACACACACTCCGGCGACAAGCTCGCAACCGTACAGAACGACACCGTTTCTCTCGATATACACTAGCCAGGAGTAGTACATATCGAGTCTGATGCCCGCAATGTGGCGATGATTTCTCCAGTGCTGCAGGCCTGTGTGTGCGCCAGACATGAGGTGCAGCGACCTGCGCAGCATTTGCATGACTAGCAGCTACTTTGAGCGCAAGTGTGACTGATCAACCTCCGCTTCCTGCATCTGACCCATCTATTCCTCATCCACCTGACCCCGCATGCTCCCCTGCCTCAAATGATAATGATCCATCTTCTGATCACCTAGTGGAGCCTCTGATTCGAGAAGATCTCTATCCGGAACGCATAATACAGCCGGAGGAACCTGACAGAAATGGTCAAGACTGCAATGAATCTCCGCCTGCTGTGCAATCTGAAGAATTGGAAGAACCTCCCCCTGCCGCACAATCTGCAGAATCAGATGATGTCATAGTGCTGCAGCGGGGTCGTTATGCATACTATGCGATTAATGTGTGTCCCCTTACCTACAATTGCAACCCTTGTATTGTTTCTGATTTTGCAGACGTTGTCCGTTGGGTAGAAGAAGAGCCCGTGTCGTCTGGTTGGACAACAGTACTGCACCTGGAGTGAACATAGAAGTCTTGTCTATGGCATTTATGGGTAAGCGACTACAACTCTAGTCTGCTCCGCAAAATCACATGTCAGGCATGGATCCGAATATTCGGGCATAAATCTTACATCGTCCAAGTCATTTCAGTGCTCTAAGCTCTTACCTTTGCGGATAACTCCTGGACCTATGGGTCAATGGCGGTAGGGCGCACGCAGCGGGAAATATCAACTCTTTCTATCACCAAGCAGTAGATAATCACCTGGTCTGGCTCGTCCATCAGGAATAGTATGGTGATGAGCACTCGAAAGCACTACTGCCTCCGGAGAGCAATCCGGCTGAACCTCCTTCTTCTCCTGTGTGTGGTCAGGCAGCATCCCCTCCCTGTGTGAATCGGACGGATTCTACCACGAACAGTGAAAGGGCCTCTCCAGGCGATGGAGATTGTGCCCTTCTCCCATTGTGTCGTCGCACACGTACATTGAGTTAGCATTTGCACGACATAGCCTCTTCTCCGAACGCTATGAAGGGATGGTTGCAGCCAGGTTGCTGCCAACCTCTGCCACGAAAACTGCGATGTGCCCTCCTCCCATTGTGTCGTCGCACACGTACATTCAGTTAGAATGTGCACGACATAGCCTCTGCTCCGAACACTATGAAGGGATGGTTGCCGCCATCCTCTGCCACGAAAACTGCAATCCTTTGTCTTGTGCTCACCCCCCCACCCCTTGATTACTTGCCCAGCATGCTGTTGTGGCCTTGATCTGTCATGCTTGAATAATTGCGCATGTCAGCCTTCTTTGCTGATGAATGTCAGCAACATGCCATGTGTTGTCAATGTTTCCAGGAAGTTGTCATAGAAAGTATGTGTCTCTACTGTGTGGACTATCCCTGGTGCCATCGTCTGCCAAATCCTCTCCTGGCATGTCCCACATGCGGTGTTGGCCATACACCTACTGCAACCGCAATCGGAATTCCTTCTTCCTTGGCCGACGAACGAAGGGCACGGCAGCCTGAGGAGGAAAATAGATTACCATATGGACCACCTGCAGAGCGCTGTACTGATAGGTTGTCTCCACCAGGGCGAGTTGTTGCAGACCAAATCCTGCGG